TGATTTGCTGGAGCAATTCATTTCCCAGTGACATCAAGCGTTTCGTTCTGCTCTTGTCAGCATCTTGTTGTTGCGCTGTACAGTTTACCTGCTGGGGGGACCGAGGCTGTTGGTGCTAGTGATGCAGTGTGTGCAGACACTGTGATCCTGCTCGGTCTGAAAAGGTCACACAGTTTATCACGACTTTGACCGGAGAAGATCAGATTGTTCGAAAACAACCTCAGAGCTCACACTGTATGAGCAAAATCAGGAAGCAAGCATTCACAGTTTTCAATAGAAAAACTCCCAAGAATGGAAGTTGATTTGAGTTGTCTCATATTCACGGCTCAACTGAGCTAAACACATCTGCAAATCTCCCTCTCTCTCGCACGCACACAGACTTCAAAATTTCTTGGAAAACACAAAAATCTGGTCTAAATCCACCTGAAATAGTACAGTGTGCACCGGGCTTGAATCAGATTTCAAGTTGGGCATCATCCAGGCCACCTTGGCCCCACCCTGGATCCACACTTGCTACCCAGCAGAAATAAACAGAGCCCATCAAGCTCACAGCGCACACTTCTATGTGTACAGAGATACCTATTATGCTGCATCGTTATAGATGCAAACAGGACCACTCAGACAACTATGTTTGCACTTTGCCCGATTTTAGCCTGATTCCACCACATACCCCTACTTGTTGCACATGAAGGAGACCCTTTTCACAAAAAGTATTGCTGTTCACCATTTCCACAAGTGGTAGGTGTGAATACAGAACGGCCATCATACCATCATATCATATTACATCTCCATGTGCTGTGAACAACTTGATCATGAGCTGTGTGGCACAGTTTCTATTCATCATGGGGAGGAAACAGACCTTATACTATATAATGTGTACGCCCAGTTTCAATAAGGTCAGCACACAAGCTTTTGAGGACTTTCTGCATTAATCCCTGGACTGCTCTCCGTCAACATTTCCTGTTAAGCAGACTGGTTACCTGACACGTAGAACAATGAAGTCACACAAGAAAAGTGCTATGTAACCCAAGCCTCACACACATCACATGTCAGTGCAAAACACACTCACAAAACAGGCACTAAAATCTGCCTCAGGGAGGACACTTGTCACCTCCACCAGTGGACAGATTACAGGTTGTGTATCTCCATATTTGGAGTGCGAGTGACTGATTGGAGGAGGCACGATGAAGCCACATACTGACGGTGCCAAATGAGGCAGAGCCACAGCAGGTTCATGCCATTAGTGCAGCTGAGTGTGTGTGAAGCGGACACACCCTCGTACAGGTAGGAAGTAGGTAGGTAGTGCTTTGATGGAAGGTCCCCGAGGGCCGCACAGGACTTGCAGATAATTAAAGGGTTTGCCCGAACACGAAAAATGACCGAGATTCTCAGCACCTGACTCGAGGTGTGGCAGCAAAAGAGGGAGGAGAGGGACGTTTTTGCTTAAGGCCTTCACTTAAAACAAATTGAAATCTGTCAGTGAAGCATTATCTAAATAAACGAGTTGATTTCTTTATTATGCTTCTGTCATTCCAAACTCATAATGCACGACAGGTTAAACGCAAAGTCAACTTTTCATATTGACTAAAATTAGAGGCCAAATCAGTTCTTATAACTATACAACTGTCCTGCACACAAAGTTAAATATTAAGCAAATCTTTCCTTCATAGGTAAGTAAGCTCAGTCATAAACAAAGCTTTAGATGACTCAGGATCAGCCTGCATCCTCATGCTGTGCAAACAAAGCTTCTTTGTCATGTTTGGTGAAAAGCAGCCATCATGTGGTCAAAATGAGGTACTGCATCTTTAATAACTAATTATTCCCTACAGGAGTTCACTTTTTATGGCCTATGAATGGGTATCAGTAAAGTTACAAGTTTCACATAAATATTGGATAATATTTGGCATTGGTGTTTAATATTAAGGGGGGGATACTTTTATTTGCTGAATAAGCAAAGAATAACTTCAATAAAACTAAAAAAAAAAAAGGAGAAGGTTCACTGAACTTGTCCGTACCTTTATCTAGTTACATTTCTGAGGAATACCAGCGTAACAATACAAGATGCTTCTATGACAGAAACATCTTGAATTGTCACGCTGGTTTCTTGTTGCTCAGAAAAATGATAACAGCCTGCTGACACATTGCCAACTCCACTGAATGCTGACAATGTTTAACCCTTAGATGCAAAGCTCTTTGGAGCCTTAACTTTTGCACAAATGGGTCCAAAAAAGACATGAATTTAAATCAGTGTTTTTAGAATTGTAAGATGCTTGGCTCTGTGGATGGATAAAACCAGTCAGTTTACTTTTTACAGTCCACTCAAATATTTCAACAACTATTGAATCCTTTTGGGAAACTAGTGGATATAAGTAATATCCCCTTAAGAGGAAGTGCCTTTATATTTATCAAAAACCACAGACTGAGTGATGAAGTCAATTAGTGCTGTGCTGATGGAGTGTGCTATTGCTTTTATACGACTGCTATAAAAGGGGGATGTATTAGCACTAAAAAGCAATAAGAGATTATTATTTTAATGGAATCAATCACGACTCCACCAACACAACTAGTTCCACAACATAACTGCAACCAGCCTGTTGCCAAGTAACAAATAAACATTTTCCTGCACACTTGGTACTTTGCGTCTACACGTTTTGGCTGACCAGCTACTTTGAATGTACATCTATTTGAAAAAAATAAAAATAAAAATAAAAATAAAAATAAAAATAAATAATAATAATAATAATAATAATAATAATAAAATAAATAGAATAACAATAATAATAATTGGGTTTCCAAGTTTTGTATACACAGGTGTATGTTAATGTGTATTATATATATGTAAATTGTACATATAGTAGCCTATATCAAATTGTAAATATATATATAGATATAGATTGTATTAAATGTTTAATTGTAAACATACATGTATGGAAAAACATTGGATTGTAAATATCAAATATAGTATCATAAATATAGTATAGCAAATTGTATTTAGATAGATTGTATATATAGAGAGAGATTATAAGGAACACAGGAAGTTAATTTAATTTAATAAATATTAATTATTGAGCTGTGGAAAAGAGGTAGGATTAAATAAGTTTTATACTTCTTCCTACTCATCCGAATGAGGCCTACGGACTTTGGTTATTTATTTACAAGGCCATGCTTGGGCTACTGCCCTCCTACATCTGTAACCTAATCACACATCATACGGTTTGCGTTCAAATGATCAGTTGTTGCTGTCTGTTCCGTTTGCCCGCACAGAGCTGGGAAAAAGGGCTTTCGTCTCCTCTGCTCCTTCAACATGGAACATGCTGCAAAAAGACTGGAAAATAACTGAACTGATTTCTTTGAATGCTTTCAAATCCAGGCTGAGTGCACTTCAGACGACCTCCTTTACTTGTAACTGTTTTTTATAATTTTAATTGTTAATTGTTTTTTATAATTGTAATTGCTGTCTGTATGTTGTGAGTGTAACTGTGTAACTTTTGCTGCCTCTTGGCCAGGACTCCCAGGACTGAAAAGAGGTTTTTAATCTCAATGGGACTTTCCTGGATAAATAAAGGTTAAATAAAAAATATAAAAAATACAAAAATACAAAAAGATAATCCCTTTATTGTGGTGGTGCCTCATATCTGCTAGACAGAATATTATGAAACTTACTGTAGGCTACTAAAACTAAAAAAAGCTAAATTCACCCTTTAGGAATAACTTTAACATTGGATTATTAATTAAAGTCAAAGTGACACGTAGAGCTGCCCTACATGTACTTAGTGCTTAGTGCTAATGAACACGGGTTAGTTAAGTAAAATAAAATATTAAATCTCATCTTTATTTTGTCATTTTGATCAATTGTTGCAAGCTATTAGCATTTAGACAAAAGCACCGCTGGGAACGTCATTTGAGATGAGATGAGATGAGATTCAACTTTATTGTCATTACACATATACAAGTATAGAGTAACGAAATGAGGTTTGGCATCTCACCAGAAGTGCAAATAAGCAGAAAGTGCAAGATCTGTGCTATGTACAGTAATTACAAAATTTACAGATGTAGACTAAAAAAAGTGAATTATTAGGTATATATAGATGGCTGGATTAATGGGATACTTGTATTTGTCTTGTATTTAGTCTTATTAGCAAATGTTATCGTCCAAATTTTGCCTTAAAAATAATTTCAATCCCCAGCAGAGAGTTCTTGTCTTACAGTTCAGGAAATTAGTAAATGTTCCAGAAGTTCAGACTTTCTCTTTTGCTAAACTTAGTTCATGCACATTTACAGACAAAATAAGAAAGCTGTTGAGAAATGTTTGCAAGCAATAGAGATTGATAATTTAAACTTTTCATCTGAAATAGGAGTCACAGATTTCATGGAAATTAATGTAAACACTTACCTGCTTTAACAGCTGTTCAGTCTAGTCAACACGAAGTGAAACAGATTTCAGCGGGCCGCCATCTTTTTCCCCTTCTTTGTAAGTTACTAACTACTCAGTAACCTTTGCAAGTTTAGTATGTTACCGATACATTTATATGTTTTTATTTTATTAACATGACTATTCAAAAGAGGTTAATGCTAACCAGCTAAATATAACTGTGTTGTGTGGTTTTGCAAAATCACAACATAGCCTGACTTATACATTTCGTATGAATTGTAAAAAAATAAAAAATAAAAATCAATCCGCAAAAAAAAAAAGATTTTCTTTTTATACTTAAAACAAAGAGCATTAATGTACAATAATCTAAGGCTGAACTGGGGTTGCTCAGCGGTGCAATTAGCAGGATATCAGGTATAATTGCTGCTATTTAATGTATACCAGCAAGGTTTGCAGGGAAGACCCATGGTATAAATTTACAAATAGGCCTATTTATACAAATTATTCAGGTTAATTATTAATAAAGTAGGCCTATAGGACACATCAGATTGGACATTTTTGAACAGCTATGCATCTTACAGTTGACCTCTTAAAGGTCAGAAATAAAATGTTTTCCAAAACATTCATGTTATGTTCAAATAAATACATTTAATCCCAAAATGTGATAAAACATACATGGAACATAATCAAAGTGAGTGATATACAGTACAGTCATTTCACTAAAAACCTGCACATTTGATTAAAAAGGCATCCATTACAGTAGGTGGGGCGAATAATCACTTGGGCAAAAAAATCAATTGGGAGAATAAATTGAAAATGTTAGGACATGCAGTCTCAAGGTAAAAATACAAGAGAATCAGTTCAGTTTTAACATACTTAACATGCACATACACTCACAGAGGTGTCTCTGTAAAACACACTATACACACTCACCTATTACACCCCCTTTCACATATTGCAGAGAACAAATAAACTTCTTGCATTTTCTTGTATTTTGTCTCATCAAAGCAGAAGAACTAGATACAGACATTGGCTGCATACTAGTTCTCATAATGTAGTTCAGTAGATTTTGTTTTTATATTAAGAGAACAAAGCTAACGGCCTTGAGCTGGGTATTGTTGCTGGCTCAGAAGCCTCTATTGCTTTTAAGCCTGTAGATTCATGTATGGATAAAACATATGCATACCAAAATGTAATTAGAAAATAGTATTAACAGAAAAAAATATTTTCTTTAGCATCGTAAGGAATTTATGTTCTTGCAATTTTCAGTTTTTCCACTAGGTGGCAGCAATTTATGCATCATGTGGAACAGCTTCAGTCTAGTAGTGTTGAAGATGGACTTCCATCTCTTTTTTTCAGTTTTTCTATCAACAGTTGAAATAGAGAAGTCCTTATTAATATGGATCTCCAGATCAATACTTTTCAGTAACCACAGATTTCCATTTCATGTTTCCAGTCAATCCACTAGTAACGTCATACCACTGTAAAAGTGTCTGTCTTGTTTGCATGCTTGATCAAGTAGCACCATGACAAACTGTCAGCCTGAAAAGATTTACTGTCTGTTGATTTTTGCATGAAGTAGGAGAGTATACAGTCTTGATCTTTAAGATTAGAGGAAGTAATATGATCCACATGGACAACATTTGAACGTTTGTATTTTCACCTGCATGGAGTACCAGATGTGTGGACATTAAGACCTTTAAAGACAATTAATTCAAATACTACATTAACTGTCATATTTCTTTTGTAATTAGTGCGTTATAACAGTTATATTAAAATTTAACATGAGTATAGAGCGCAATTCAAACCATTTTGAAGCCCGTCTCAGAAGGCTTAATTGCAATACAATAGAGGTCAACATTCAAAACACAAACCAAATCAATTATGGCTAACGTAGCAGAAAAGGAGGGTTTCCTCATTCATAAATCACATATGCTGCATATTTCCTGCTTTTTAGAAAAAAAATAAAAATTCCAAACATTAAAATCAGGTCAAAATGTGACAGTACTCCGAGAAATTCTCTGATGGACAAAACTTGTGACACTTTTCCTGCAATTTCCAAGTACAAAATGTCAAATCTCTCTCAATTAAAATTGACTACTGTTGTCACTTGTAGTATACCTGCAGCAGAAAACTCAGTAGTATTTCATCACAGATAAAAGATTCTTTGATCTTGTGAAGCAGCCATGTGAAAAAAATCTCTCATGTACAGTGTCCAGTTTGTCAGAAATGATCAAGTGAATGAAAGTAGGCTTATGTGACCCAGGCAGATCTGACACAACATCCGTAGCACACATCAAAGGACATGCACACACACACACACACACAGAGTGAGTCATGACATATTTTCTGGAAAACTATAAAAACAAATAACTGACAGGATTGATGCTTTAAGTTTCTGCTCATGATTCACAATCATTGCCATGAACAGTGAAGCGGCCCCTGCTGTTATTGTAAATGGACTACATTTATATAGTGCCTTCACACACACACATACAAACCCATTCACACGCTGATGGGCGGAGAAGCTGCCATGCAACGCTGTGACCTGCTCACCAGGAGCAGTTTGAGGTTCGGTGTCTAACTGGAAGACACTTCAACATGCTGTCAGGAGGAGGACTACTATCTATGATTCACTGTTGTCCTTCACGCACAAGCAGCAGACTGACTCACGCGACGTCGAGGATGGGGCTGAATGAGCTCTGTATAAATGTATTTTACATAGGAAGACAATTTTTTTCATGCTTATTATGTACCAGGCATTGTGGGTATTCACTGACAGTGGGAAAACATTCTTCATGGTGTTAGCAGACACATGGAGCACCGCCTTTAGGATGGGCCGTATGTTCTTTAAGAGCTCTTCATAGCTACATTACTACAGTACTTTTGGATAATACTTAAGGACATTATGTACATTTTTTTTTAGAAAGAACAGCTGCGGCTACTTTTTCTTGTTGACTTCTACGCAGCAAACTTTCTGCTTTCAGGCAGCTCGAGGTGCCCTTGAAAAGCAGAAATATTACTGTCTGTTCCTCTGCAAGGGTGATAACGCTAATCTCTGCAACTATTTGTTGTTAATCCCGAGTTTATTGCAGTCTGTGGGATAGGAGAAATGGAGAGAGTAATCTCGGCCATTCAGGAAACTGATCTCCTCAAGGTCAACGGCAAATGGGGACGGGTGGGGGTGTTATGCGATGCAGCAAATGCAGCAGCATGGAGTTATCGGGCCTCTGGTGACCGTAGAGAGCACAGAGAGTGATTTGGGTGTTTTTAAAGACCCAATTCTACTTTCCGGCTGTTCTGATGCTCTGTACTCCTCTGCACACCAGCCGAGTCTGCATGTCTGGCTGGCTGGCTGTTTTCGTCTTCCCATCACAACAGATGATGGGGAGAAGTTAATGAAAAGTGGCTGAGGACGGTGGAGGAGGTTTAGCAGAAATTGGGCTGGTTTTCGAGTGTTTTATTCCTCTTCTTCTTCTTCTTCATTCTACTTTTAAGTAGCCGTTAGCATCATTTCCCATCTCTCTGCTCCTCTCTCTCCTCCTCCCACCCCCGACAGGTCCCACCGCCCCTCCTCCTCCACCCCCAGCATCCGAAGGCTTCTTTGACCAGCCGTCCTCGGGCCCCTCGTGGAAGCGCAGTCGCAGCGTTTTGCTAATAACAAAGCGCTCCACGATAAAGGAGGCGCAAAACCAGGGCACGGCGTACTCGGCCGTGATCAGTCCCTTGAAGTTGTAGCGGAACTCGGAGTAGTCCCAGGGGCAGGCGTTGAACTGGCGCAGCAGCAGCCCCGTGCCAAACTCCCACAGGTACGTCCATAAAGTGTAGATGATGCAGCGCAGCAGCACGGGGCAGTGGCCACGCAGCTTCAGGTACATCTGCTCCACTATGAGGATGCAGGTGCCGTAGATGAAGAGCGCCCACACGCTGGTCACCCCGGGGAACTTCCAGTTGCAGTTGACCACGAATTCCCAGGCGGCTGTGAACATGACCTCGCAGAAGTAGCCGTGGATGGCGTAGAGGTACCAGCGGGACAGTACCGTCAGCGGTACTGGAGCCTCTGGGGTATCCGAGGTCACCATCTTGCTTTCACACAGTTTTATTCTGTCCTTTGGAAATTAGACGCAGCTGTGAGGAGACAAGAAGGGAGGAGAGGTGTAGGAAAAGTCACATAAAGGCAGGGTACCACATATTAGGTTACAGTTTTTTTGACATTTAGACATCTCTCAATACCTGTAAACTGTAAGTGTTTTGCTATCATACAATCTTCTATTTTTATGATTGATAGTATCTGTATCTGTATGCTTCAGGAGTTTTCTTGCAATTGTTGGAATTAATAAACAGGAATCATCCAAAATGGGGTACCAAGGTCTTCTACTTTTTGTCATGGTATCTACATTTTTTTATTCTTACTATATCTTAGTGAAAATTCTGGTATTGTGTCCAAACTACAACGTACAAACTTAGTACCAATCGAAAAATTAGAAAGAAAAGAGAGCGAGAAAAACAAATGTCCCCACTAGGGGGAGTGTAAAACAAAAATGTCAATTTTGATCATTACATTATTAATGTAACCCTTCTCTCAGCCATAACTACGAAACATCCCTACAGTTTACAGTGGGTTTGACTTGAAGTCATGGAGTTCACCATTTCAGCACAACATGGAAAATGATGGTGTATGCAATAGATCCTGATTTGATCACGTTGACACCAGCTTCACCATTTCATGTGTGACATCAGAGACGTATGAAGTTATTTGCAATTCAAACTAACACATCAACATCTACTTTTTCTCAAATTAGCTGATAGTGTTTACTTTGACTGCTCATCAAATATTGCTTTTTTTTTTTACAGTGGATCCATTGTTTAAATTGAGGGAGTACCGGATTTAAAAAAAAAAAGCCATAGTGTGAACTATTTGGTGAAAAGCTTTGGGAGGGGGTTCTCTGGAAACCAATAAGGAACTGACTCCTTTCACTGAGTCCTGCTGTTGTGTGAACTACTGGTGCTGTGCACAGCATGGAAATGTTGCGGTAGATCATTACATAAGAGAAATAAGCAGAGTATTGACTGGATTCTTTGATAAACAGAAGTTTGTTTGGCTGCACTTTTACAAAATATCAAAAAGTTAAATGTACACCTTATCGGCCATTATATATTTTTGCTAAATAAAGACACAGCCACTGTTGTCTGTAAGTACCGGTAATTAAGTCATACTGGCAACAGGAGCAAAACATTCCCAATAGGCCTGGAAACACTCAAGAAAACAAGGTCAAAAAGAAGGAAGTCCCTTTGTCTCTTTTTAGCGAGCTTGACTTCTGCTCTCAACGTTTCAGTCCACTCAGAAATCAGTCCCCAACACAAGACATTTAGACACAACAATCTATTCTTTAACAGCTTAACAGTCTTGAACCTGAGCATGTCGACGAGGGTATGGAGGTCACATACACACAGTTTACGGATTTCACAATTTATTTAAGAAATCGCAACATAGGTTAGTAAGTGCTAGATCCAATTTGCAGAATCTGTAGTTTTAAGACAATCCAGCTGTAAAAAAAAAAAAAAAAAAAAGAGCTAATAATGAACTACTGCAGTGGAGAAAGGATCATTCTCACTAATCATATCAGCAATATCTGTCAAAATAATGTTACCCAGCTTTATTCATTTATGACCTGCAGTCCTTACATATTTTATACTTTTGGATTTTTTTCACAAGCCAGTGACATTTCTTGCCAAAAGCTGCTCAGTGAGTGTTAGCTGTCGTATGAACTCACACTTGGTGCTCCCCACAGTAAGCCTGGGTATTTCCTAATCAACCAGAGCTGCAATCTTAAGGATTACAGCTTTAATTGCAACGCGTGCTAAGCCAAAATTTAATCACGGACAGGGCAATGCAACACTCAGCTGACATCAGAAGGGTGAAATTAGAGACAGCAGAACTACAGAGCTCTTAAACTCGGGGGCCTTCCCTCACTCCATGCTATTTAGCGACTGACTGAGGGGGTTCTTATGTAAGGTATAGCTTTATCATCTGACTGCCTACATCATGTGCTCTTTTTCCAAATCCCGCAGCTTGACGCACACTGGCTTTAGTGTCAGGTGTCAGGAGGCCCACGCAGGGCTGGATCCTTCCTCTACTCGATATATCACACAGCATGGCTAATAAAAAACACTGGAGGCGCAAACAGTATCATACCGAGGAGTTCAAAGACCACATGGTCGAGGAGGCCGCCGAGCGTATGTCTTCTACTATACAATACCTCCAGAGGAAACCGTGTCCTAATGGCATCATAACCACTCTGTAAAACACAGGCTCGGATACAGAGAGAGGTTACGAGTACAAAAGCTTGTTTGAAGAACAAAAGCTGATTTTTTTTTTTTCCTTGTGTGGCTCGTTTGGTCTTCAAATGCTGGCTGGGGCCCCAGAGAGGGCCCATGGGGATTAGCACATTTCTTCCAAACAAGGGTTTCATGTGAGGAACTGGGCCACAGCGATGGTCTAACTGACCTCACAAAGCCCTTTATACCTTCTTTTCAATGCCTTCCTGGGAAACTCTCCCTCTTTTCATCAGCTGCTCATGCGAGTAGGAGTCAAAAAGTAGCTTGGAAAGACTTTCAGCATAACTCTCTGTAACCTCCTGATGCAGTGAAGTGGCTTCATAACATCAGATCATAAAGATGTGTCACCTTTTTTTGGTAAAGCAGCCGAAAATGACTTCTGTTTTCTTTTTAGATATATTTTGGCTCATTGCCTTTGTTGGATAGGACCGTGGAGTGAGTAAGAAACCAGGGAGGGAAAGTAGCCTCTCACCGGACTCTAAATACATCAAACTTTGAAGGGATTGATCAAGATTTTGGGGTGTTTTGCTGATTTGCTTCTGGCTGAGCTGGACAATAAGATTGATACTTGTTAACTTAGCTTGGTAGACAAACAGGAAGCAGTAGCTTTTGTAGCTTTAGAAAGGATTTGTCATTGAACACTGGGGCTGCTCGATTATGGGAAAAGAAAAAAATCATAATCACGATTCTTTTGATTCTTGATGCTGTCCACATATCCTCCCACATGTTATCCTCCCACATTTCAACTTTCCAAACTGAAATCACGTGAACACACTGAAGTCAGGAGAACGGCTTCCCAACTCGGAAACTGGGACCGTCCGAGGAGCACATGAACGCAGCATGATACCTGTTAGGTTAGCTTTGCATAAAGACAGGAAACAGCTACACTGGCTCTGTCAAGATGGAAAAATCTAACTAAGAGCACCTATGAAGGTCAATAATCACACTTTGTAAAATGTTTATATTTCATCTTTTGAGGTGAAGTTAGCTGGATTTATTTAACTGTAGACAGAACCAGGCATATTTCCCCTAATTATATGCTATGCTAAGATAACAAGCTGCTTTGTATCTAACAGACAGACACAAGCTCTACTTTTTCTAGCTTGCGAAAAATGAAAAGTTAAAAAATCAACATAAATCATGTTAGATTTGTTTCTCAGAGCTCTGCTTTTCTTTATCAAATGACTCTCTCTGTAGCCACATGGCGAGCCCTTCTCCTAAACGCCATCGCAACTTCTCTCTACCCTTTTCCACAATTCACTTCCCCCTGCTCTCTTTCTCTATCGCCTTCACAGACACCATTTGTTCAGCACTCACATGCCCACTGAGCTGCTTAAGATGACAAACATGGACTCAAGTAGGAAGGTATGAGCAGAGAGATCAGGAAATTCTGTAGTAGTGACTCATTAGCTGCAGAAATCATCAAACTTAATGTGTTCTATTTGTGTTTATCATGTTTTTTGTTATGTTTTCATCTTCGGTATTGAAGCTAGACGAGTGTCTGTTTCAGGAGAGTTCATGCTTGGTTAGCTTGAATAAAGATTTCTCACTGCAGGTATTGGCAAACATGTATTTTCCCCCTTGCACGTCTCGTAATGTTCCCTTCATAAATGAATACTTCATGTGCTTAGTGCCTCGTGACTGTTTAACAGAGACACCGGCATTATCACGACTGCATAAGAAGTGAACAGTGCCCAGATATGTAAAGCTACCAGTTCAGATTACACTACTAGAAATTCTTCAGATTGTTGCCCTGCACAGGCAGATTTGTTTATGTCACGGGACAAGTTGTAACACAGACATCAGGTTTCTGAGATCCTTGCACAGGGAGAAGAAAAGAGCGATTCACTGGAACTTTGAACGCATTTATTCTTTGACGAAATGAACATAGGGGAAGGAAAACCAAAGAGCTGCACCCTCTTTACGACAGAAATGAATGACGTTTAAACTGTGGTGTGAAATCACAGAACAAAAAAATGAATCTTTGGTTTGATATACGGTTTACTGTCTCCAATAAGTCCAATATACATAGACGATTCCAACGGGCCGCCTAAGTATATTTCCGACCTGCTTTTTTTTTCATTTTTCATGCGTGCCGGAGAGAGCTAGAGAGAGAGTGAGAGCGAGAGAGAGAGAGAGAGAGAGACAGAGAGAGAGAGCGATAAGGTCAAATGTCCCGTAATATTTACAGTCTATGGTACAGCACTCTTGTAAATGCATGTGGGGATAAATTGAGCAGATTTAAGATGTTTGTTGCTAAAACTAAATTAATTTAGAGGGACAAACAGATTTGATATCATACAAACCTAATATTAAAAAACATACCCTAAGATAAGGGTAAAAATAAAAAAGGATGTCAATCCCCTGCAAATTAGGAAAAAGACATCTAGGATGAAATAAAATACTCATTCTTGCTGGAGTCAAACAGGCGTTGCATCTTAGCACTCAAAATTCTCCAGGAAGCTGCGGTTTACCCTTTCTGTGTGTATGTGGGTCTTTTTTTTTTATTGACTTGTAGCCTCAGCAGGACACAGCTCACACACTGGCTGCTGTTTGATTCTGCTGTTGTTGTAGCAAATGTCGGAGGACAGTGCCCACTCCCCCACCCCCCCACCCCACCGGCGCTCTCACCGGCCCCGAGTATCGATCAACAAGGTTCCTGCCAGCCCGTGCTGTGGCAACCCGCTTCTCCACTGCACTCCATTGAACCCCCCCCGTTACGGGACGGCACAGTATGAGGGCGATCACAGCGGTAGAGGTGATAGAGCTGCCTGCTTTGTAAACGTCCC